ATTATATTCTAAACTAATTTATTGAGTAGATAAATTGGGTCTGGTTTGTAGTGAAACAAACCAGAATTTCTGGTAAGAATCGAACCCACAACCCTCAGACTGATTAGCTAGCCACTAACAACTCAACGACTAGGGCACGCGACCCTATTTTACATTTTTTTTTATTTTTCGCTTATTACACTCACAGTATGCACCATTTAAGAAGTATTCCTGAAGCAAATTTCCTATGAAACTAATTATTGGGACATTCATTTTAATGTACATATATACATTCTACATATTTGGAGGTTATACAAATTAAAACATTTGCCATTTTAGTTGTTACTGTAAAGCAGTGTACAAAATTGATAAAATTTTATTTGACTTACATTTAAATCTTGTAAACAACTCCACTTTCAATATATGTTTGCCTTGCAAAAAAAAAAAACTATTAAAACTACAAATATTAACGCACTTATCAATGTGTGTTTTTCTACTGATAAGTTTTTGCTTGAACTACATTAATATTAAATTTTGGAGGCCCACGTACCTCGTACGATTGCCAATGCGTAGAAAAGCCAACCAAGGGGTCCTATGATTTTTTTTCTTGATAATTCATATCGTTATGTTTTTTTTTTCAATTGGGAGTAAGACCATGTGAAATACATAGTATAGTATGTACATATTTGTTAGTGTAAATAATATCTATTTCTATTTATTATGTTTTTGTAAAAATTCCTACTGCCATTTGTTTTGTACTATTATTGTTTTTGTTGTTATTCTATATTTCCTGATAACGTAATTGATATTGTGGACTTGGGAACTTTGAACAAAAACAAAGGCAATGTGTGACTATATTTATGTATGTATGTTTGTATATTTTTGTTTTTATTCTATTCTGATGTTTTTTTCTATGTTTATTTACATTGTAACAGAGTAAATGTGTACATATCGCTCATTTACAATAAGACTGGCGTAATTCAAAGTCGTTTCGACAAAAACATTTTATTACATTTTACTAATCCTTCAATAACTTATAAAATAATCAAATTTTAAAAATAAATTTAAAAATCGCGAATTTTAAGTTACGGTAGTGTTGCAGTAAGTGTGCGATATGTACATACATACATATGTATGTGTGTATGTCCATCCAAAATTGTGCGTAAGTTTTCAAATAACTTAAATTCGTTTTTAACTATTATAAAATAAGAACGCCATTCAGGTAATCGGTATGTATGTATTTTAACCATGGATGGATACTTAATATTATATATTTTTATGGAAATCTAAATTTTCCATATTATTTTAACGTCCTTTTCCGAAGTCAGTTAATTGATATTTTGTCAATAGTTATTACAAAACTTGATCTCAATAATTTTAAAATATACATCTATCTAAAACACTAATTGGTCAACTGGGTAATAGTATTTAATAAAGCATTTTATTTTATTAATTTAATATGTTTTATTACCCAGTATTTATTTGTTACCATAATAGATTCTTTGTTGTTCTACTTTTTTGTATTTGTTTTTTGTTTTTAATTATAAATTCAATTGATTTTATATTTCCTTCGATACGAGTAATTGATTGAATTGAATCATATGTATGTATTGATAAAGATGTACACTTTCATGTGTATGCAACAGCTCTGTGTAAAAACTTAGCATTATTATCAGTAATATACATATTCATATTGTATGTATTTTGTTGTTGGTACAATATTTTTATAGGAAATTATTTTTAAAATCACTTAATGCATTACTAATCAAAATTGTAATTATTACACGACAATGATAATGCAAAGTTGTGAATTAACTTCTGTATTGTAATTCTATAGTAAAACCACCAGATAATATTATTTATTATATTACAAAAAATATTCAGTGTATTTATGGTACCGAAATTATCATCACGGTAATCTATATCTTTTAACATTCAAATGACTGATGAATGATGTATTATTGTACAAAATAGAGTCTATATCATCTCATGCATTACTTTAGGTTAAATGGGTAACTAGTAACTACTATTGCGTACTAATTTCGTACCTAACACTGCCTAGTAACTGAACGTATTTAAATGTATGTATGTACATGCGCGTGTAAAATAGAATTCATGCATTTTAATTATTACTTGATTTCTACAGAAATTGTTTTTGCGCAAATCCGATTAATTTAATCAATTGAACCCACTTTGAGAAATCATTGAACTACAAACACTTGTATAAAATGTTAATGTAAGGCATTTCAACGCATACATTTAAATAAATGCAAAAAAAAAAAACATTTCCCATAAATTTTATTTAATACAACAGTATTTTACAAAGTAAAAATAATAATAATAATAAATTTGCCATATTGAAGTGTTGTTTGCCCCTATTGTGAAAAAAAAACAGAAAAGAAGTCTTTGTTTAGCAAAACAAAAAGAATATGCATTTTTTTATACATAAATACATACGTGTCAATTATTATTTATTTTTTTATTACATATTTTCAAATATATATAAATTAATTTGAAATAATTTTACAATTTATTTAACATTAGATTAGATTTTTAAATTAACAACCCTTTTAGTCCATCATCAAACCATCTGAAATTCGTTTAAAAGTTATTATGGTGCAGAAAATTCATTAGAAACGATTATATACATTATAGCTTTTCGAAAAAAGAAAGACAACAAATTAAACCGGTTTTAAATGACCTTGATGACCAAATTTGGTATTTCTACGCGTTTTTTTTTTTATATTGAAGTGCATCTCATATGATCAAAGTATCTTGTTTGTCTTTTAAAAGCATTTTTAGTTCTAGTGATTGTATTTTAGCTAATCTTTAAAAAAGAGGTTTTCAACAAGAATTTTTTTCCAACAAAAATATTTTGGAAATACATATGTATATTAAAGATTTAAACTTATTCGTGACATAACTGTAATATTTATTTTTACTCAACGAAGTATGATATGAAAAAATGAATGCATCCGAAAAATACAGTCATTTCCACAAACGTCAAACCACCTGGTAGGCTCTAATTCGTCTTTCGTCACGAATGTACTCTTTGTAAACGTGAGTGAAATCGTCACTTTAGTGTCCCATTTATAAGCGAGATCGGAGATAGTCGTATCTTTACAGTCCCTATGTAATCTAATTAATTAAAAAGCTAAAATTCCATTGCCGTCCATTGACTCCTTTGGACTAGCTTTCTGACTGTCTCTTCGTAATCTATGGTTACCCTAAGTGATAAATTAAATAGGTAGTTCTGGTCTGGCGGAACAGTCTGGAACGGAATAAACCAATCGTTTTTCCGAAATGCGATTGAATATTTTAATCAAAGAATCGACACCTACATACGTTTCATACACATACATACGTAATTGCTATTTTCAACACAATAAAAATTTTGAAGATTTTTATAAAAGTTCTTTTTGTTCTACATATTAATCATTGTCTGACCATAACTTACCATAAATCAGTGTTTTTTCAAAGTTCTAATATGGTCCTATAATAAAACGATCCCCACAGAATTTGTTTTAAATAAACATATTATAGAAATTATTTTTATCGAACATAATAATAATAGTTCCAATTTTGTATTTTATGTTAATACCACCATTTTAAGAGTGGTTAGTGGTATGTAAGGTCAATGGAGCGATTATTATGAAATTTGGTTGTTATAAAATTTTTTATATTGTATTTCATGCCTAAACTCTCTGTTTTAAATCAATTTTGAACATGAAGGGGTTAAAAAATTTATATAAAATATCACAGACTTACATTCCGGTATTTTACTTTCCAGTGAAAGAAGAACGAAAATTACTTTCGGAATGAAACAATTGATTTTTTGTAATTATTGGTTTCTCTTTTAATTAAAACCTTCACTAAAATCATGATTTTTGTTTTAATAAGCTATCAGAATAATTTTTAAATAAAAAATTTTAAGTTTGAAATTGTTTGTATGTGAAAGGCCTGATAAAATATTATTATCGCGATTTTAAAATAATGTCATCGATATTTTAATAGGAAAAATTTCCATTATATTTTTGACCAGAAAGATAATTGTGTTTATAGATGATGTGCTTTAGAATCATCGTGGCTAGTATTAAATTAACCTTATAGAACCTAAATTTAGAAATCTTACTTTACAAAGAAAGTCCCATTTTTCATAAAAAATTAAAACCCAAATAATAAACATTTACCCACAAATAAATCAATCGATGTTTTACGAAAGTCTATTAAAAATATTCGAAATAACTAATGACCTGTGTGTGGGTGCGGGTGTGCGCGTGGTTTTGTTTGTAGAATATCGACAATTCAGTTCAGTCCAGATTAGATTAAAAATGCGGGTTTTTAATATATTTTTTGTTGATAGATTGATAGTAGTGACCATTATTTGCTAATTTCCTTTCTTTGTTTTCATTGCAAATATTTCGATAATTTATGAAATGTGTATGTATGTACAACATTCATACATATATTTTTTCATTAATAAATATTGATCTCTTGAAAGTCGATAACATTAATATTTGCGATAGTGCGATTTTGAATGGTAATCGTGAATTGGTTATAAAAACAAATTATTAATAATTGAAAAAGCCATAGAAAGACCTTCATAAAATGATCAGAATTTCAATAACATTTCCAGATTTAAATAAACTTAATATTCTACAATACCACCACAGATGATTACAAAAATCTAAAAAAAATACATGCATACGTAAGATTCACATTGATAAAATATTTGCAGAAAAACGTGACAATTGCTTTTCTTTTTAACATTTGTTAATTCATTTGAATAAACTTTAGCTTGGAAATTATCACCGTAGAAGGTCATTATTTTTTACTAGAGCTTAATGATATTTACAAAAGTCATGTAAGATCAAATAAATATTTGTTACGTTTTTTTGTCGTCAAATATTTGTTCAATGTGAACGTACTTTAGAAGTGAAAAATGAAAATAAACAAAACATACAAATAATAATATTAATACAAAAATAATAGTGATTTGTTTTGATATTTTGCACACGTACATGTTTATTCCGAAGTGGGGAGGGCAGAAATGAATATCCAAAAAGTATCTTTTTTTATTTTTTGTTATTTGACTATTGAATACAGTCGGTCGTCGTCACAACAACAACAATAAAACGCGAATAAACTTCTCTCTGCTGCTTTCGAAACGCTGCAACTATTGTAGTTGTAGTACGACAAGTATGTAGTTGTAGTATTTATTAATTAATGTTAATTTTTATTATGTTGTTGTTATTATTAATTATAATTTTTGATATATCTATGTACATAGATTTAAAAAACTCCGTTATATGATTATTTTATTTTAGCATAAATAAACACGACAGTAAAAAATATAAAAAAAAAAATCAAAACAAATAATATTTGAACAATTTATACACTTTTAACTGACGTTGCGTTTTGTTCCGTTTTGTTGCGATCGATGGACGATGACAACTATCTTGGTCTAGGCATAAAAACACACTAAAATAAAATAAATATTTGCAAAAATCTAGTTGAGCCCCCCTTTGGAGCAGCGTAATAGACCTTGCTTGTTCTTGTGTACTCACAAAACGCTCACTCGGTAGCGTGTTGTCTAGTTAAAGCAACTGCTCACCAACACAAACAACACATTACTGGAAAATACCCAACAAACAATTGGTTCAAAATTTAACTTGCAATTCAAACGCCAATTACCAGGACCAACAAATATTTAAAAAAGTCGAAACCCTGATACCAAAATTCTTTATTTACAAAATTGTTTACGTCATCTTTAAGTGCAATCTGTCGACTTTAAAATTACCGCATAAAAGTTTGTTGTCACTTTCACTTTTTTTAATTTATATAAATAAAGGTATCTATTGCGAAGTCTTAAATATGAACAATAACGAGGTTTTTTTTTCAAACTTTACGAAGAAATTCAGATTTGTCTCAGTGCAGCTTAATCATTTAGAAAAGTATATTTTGATCTCGGGGTTAAAAATTTGTTGGCCTCTGTTATCTACAAATCATAAGTAGTTCATTTTGGTTTAAACTGAGTATGTACTACCAATAACTATTTTTATAAATAAAATATTTGATATATTTTAAAATAACCTAAGCCCCCTTAAAATATGCGCATACATCTTATAAATGCGTAAATCAATTCGAAAGTATCCTAATGGGGATCTAATGTATGTATATGGATTCTACAATGTACGGTGTTCGACTGTTTTTACATTACGATTTCTTGATACTGGTACTTTTGAGGGGCAAGGATCCAAATTACTTATTTAGAAGGGCTGAAGAGGCTCTGTATACGAACCGTAGGATAGGATCAATAAGGCACATCGGTGTGGGTACTATCTAGGAAAACCATAGGCATGAAATGGGGCATTAGTCGTACTATGACACAATGGTTTTATAAAGGTGGGGTTAGACCAATTGTAATTTATGGTTCAATAATCTGGATGACTTCTTTGGATAAAAAATTGAATATCAAACTAATACATGGAGTTCAGCTTACATGCTGCTTGTATATACATATGTAAGTGCTGCCATGAGCAACACCTCAGCCAAGTTCTGGAAACTGGAGATCTACTACCCACTTAATCATATATAAGATATAAGCCGGCAATTACAGCCAAGCAGCTCTTATGGTGAACTGACCGAAAACAGCTATAGGACAAATCATCAATGTATACTGTACCTCGTTTCTGTAATTTTCACGAATAGAGAAAAAAATTAAAATATAATAGTCTTCCAGTTTTTAACAGTGTGACTCTGATTATTTTTAAACTGTACTCATTAAAATTTAAAAATAAATTTTTAAATTTCTTGTATTCACCTTGTTTTACACAAGATGATCATGAATTTTTCGACAGATTTTCTCGATGCGAGAATTACAGAAACGGGGTACTGGACACATTGAGAGGCTATACACAAACATTGGACGTGGTTGATTGTATACCAGACACAGCGTACCATCTACCTAATCACAACATTAGCTTCCAGGCAAAAGTGGCATCAACAAGGGTTAACATATTTACCGACATCCAGAAGGCAATTAGGGCGATATCAGGTGATAAGGTTAAATCTAAGACCCTATTGGATTGTAAGAAAACTACTTGCTTTAAAGGGAAGGAAGCTCGAGGTAGTTAATCTGACGAACGCAAGATCGACGTAACTACGGTTTGTGAGTGGACACACAGGATTACCACTATACAAAGTTTGACATGCGACTGCAGACGAATGTAGGGCATGGGGAGGAACTGTGAAACTCTGGACCACTTTCTTCGTCATTGTCAGGCTTTCGTCGAAATTAGATTCAAATATTTTGGGAGCAATTTTATTCCGAAAATAACATAAAATCCCTCAAAACACTGATTAGAAGATTCGTAAGAATTACAACCAGTAAACTAAGTTTCCGAACATCGGAAGGTAATACCTTCATTAATCGCTACATAAAGATTTTTTTCATTATCAACAATGTATGGGGACGGTAATACCTTCATTAATCCCTACATAAAGATTCTTTTCTTTATCAACAATGTATGGGGAATTATTTTCTATATCTACGATATTGAACTGGTGGCGGTTGATGATCAGACTTTGCTGCATAATATGGAATCTTCTTTTCTAAAAACAGCAACTTCCTTGGAAAAAGATTTAGATGATCTCGTTATACCATGTAGTTAAAAACAGGAAGTTTGATCTCACTGTATAGAATTTGCAACTAGACTTGAATTCGTAATATTTTTTCGTGACTGCACATCATACGATTAGTTAAAAACTATACATGTATAACATACATACATTTATATTTGTTTAAAAAATAGTGCTTGGGAATTTTCCACTCTTTATAGGCCAGACCCGATTACTAATTGTATTGATCGATACAGAACGCTCTCACTATAATACTCTTCACTTTAAAATAACATATCTAAAATTGTTTTATATTGCACTTGATATAATATTTTTTTTTCTTGAAATTATCCAAAATATTCTTGTTTCATGTACATGTACCGATTGAGTTTTTATACATTTCATGTACTCGATTTTTTCTTAAACTTTGAATTCGAAGTATCTAAAATATTGTTCTATTACAGAATTTGACAATTAATATTCAAAAATTTAAAACCTAATGATAACTATTTTATGTTTGCTGGGTATGAGTTCATTCATTCATACAGATATGGAATGAAATCACACGCCACATCGATTTATAATATGACTGAGTGTGTATTAATAATTCAGTTAGCAGCGAACGATAATAAAACAAAAACAAAAAACACAACAAAGCCAGTGTAGTGAGTGGATAGGTGAGTGAGTGACCTTAGTCATAACGAGCCTCCACACTGCCTCTCTTTTCAACTATTGATTATTATGATTCCGACCATAGGCATAGAGGGTTAACACACCCAACATTTGAATACATTAAAATTAAAAAAGAAGATTACTATATTTTGTTATTTACTAAAATTTATACATAATAATAAAACGAATTGCTAAAAATATTTTAAAATTAATGATCTGCCGTCATTCAATTTAAATTTTTAAACTTAAAAAAAAAAAAGGAAAATAACTCCCCATATTTGGGGGCTTATATTATGAAATATGTAACTCCCCAATTTTAATATGAAATAGTCTCAAGTCCCTAATTTAAAATAAAATAACGCGTTCCCATTTAAAAATTCAACATCTGGATATAAAAAATATCAAAGTGGAACAAGTCTGTTTAGTGACATCCAAAGTTTAATACATTTCAGTTTATTCGCTTAATAAAATTTTTTTAAATAGGCAAGGATTGTCTTCTATATGGTAAGTCCAACAACGGCAAAGATTTTCTATTCTATAACATGTTCAACACCGGTTTCTCTTAGTAAAGATTTTCTAAATAACCGGCCTAAGATTTTCTACTCTATGTTATTTCTTCGCTTAATAAAAATTTTTTAAACTCTCTAAAAATATTTTTTAGGGATTTCATTTTTGAATTTGAGAAATAATTTCATAATGAAAGAACACCCCATTTTAAAAGTAAAATAATGCTCCAAAAAGTAAATTAAATCTTCAAATTTCGTTTTTGTTTTGGGGTGTTTTCGTTGGGATTTATTTTATGACGCCGTTTATTATCTTACGGATAATATTCGCGTGGCTATTAGCAGTCATAATATAATTTGTAATAAATTTTAAGAATTTGGCGACAAAATTGTTAATTTAATCACAAATTTTTAATATTATTGTTTAGACTAAAATGTTTCTTTTAGTAGATTGTTCGTATTTACTAAGGAAAAATATAGTAGCCAAAGTTAATCTCATTCTATAAAAAATTAGGCGACATCCACACCATTCTGAACCTGCTAATTCTTAAAGTTAAATGTTAATATTGTTCTTTTATATTTTTATTATTATGAACTTTCTATGAAAATTTCTGGAAATACGTATGGCTTCTTCCCTTGGAGAATCCATGTAAAGCGGACAACAGTCGGAAATATCATCTCCGATTTTGGTAAAATTTACCACATATATAATATATACAAAATGTTCCTCAGATCATTGACTTTTTGAATGAAAACTCATTCCAATGTAAAAATATGAAAATTTAAATATATGCTAAAATTTCCAAAAATTATACCCAGATAATTGCCCATAACTGTGGAACTACTTTAAGTCATCATAAATTCTTATTATAACAAAGATATTGTTTTTAAAATCGCGTAAATAAAATATTTTTCTTCTAAAAAGTTAAAGGTAAATATTCGTTTTAAAAATTATAAAAGAACATCGTATAAGAAGACCTAAACTCTTTTCTATATTCTAGTAAAAAGTTTACAATAGAGACTCGTTTAGTTCAGGACTTATTAACCAAAACGTAGTTAATAAATCATATACAGCTGTGGTCAGCTAATTGGAAACGCTCTCTTTATCAGGCCTGTCACAGAATTTCATTCCGATCGAAAGTGGAATTATTTCCGTATTTTTGCTTCTTCTAAAAAAGAAAACGAAAAATTCTTTCGGAATGAAACCACTTTCAGTTTTTGAAGTGGAATTGATATTTGTATGTAATTAACGCTTTTCTTGATTAGCTAAACAAGAACAATTTTAAATGAAATCTATATAATTTTATTCATTTTTTGTCAATTTACGAAATAATTCGGAATTTGGAGAAGCTAAAACAAAAATGATCGGAATAATAATACGGAATTGAAACCATTTCGATCGGAATGTGTGACAGACCTGTATATTACTGCTTGATGTGATTTCTATAAAATTATGGAAATATTACGTTAGATTTTTAGTTCCAAACACTTGTATTTTATGAATTGATGTTGTTAAAATAAAATGGAATGCATTTTGTTGTAGAAAATTTCTTATTTCCTTTTCCATTTAGAATTTGGTGAAAATCTCTCAAAGATAAATCTAAGAAAATGCGACACCTAATTGGAAATGGCCATTTTTATTAAAATTTTTTTAAGTCAAATCTAATTTTGATAAAAAATGTAATTGT